ACCACCGCCGTCAAAGTCCACCACCACCCTCCACCACCACCACAAATCGTCCATACACCACCACCGTACACTACCACCATTAATTTATATAGCAGTTTACAGACATTAAAAAAACAAACAGTCTTCTTCTTGCAGACCGCAGACCTTCGGTCCACCACTTCTCCTGCAGATGTCTACAGTAGTGGTCTGCAGACCGCAGACCTTTTCCTGCAGAAAAACAAACACCCCCTTAGACTCCATTCCGTTCAACTTATTTTTTCTGATCTGATTTGATTTTTTGTAGTTCTGATCTGATTGGACCTGATCTAATTTGATCTGATCTGATTGGATATGATCTAATCTAATTAGATTTGATCTGATCTAATCTGGCCTGATCTGATTAATTATGATTTGATTTAAAATTCAATTCAATAATTTGATTTGACTTTATAATAACTTTTGAAAATTATAATGATAATTCATATTATAATATAATCAATATTTTTTAATGAAATAAAATTAGTTAATTCATATATTAGAATAATCATTCATATTATAATGTAATAATATTTTTATTTTATGATTATTTTTTTATGAAATAAGAATATTGATTTAATATTTTAATAATTAGTTCATATATACATTAGAGTAAATATTTATTTCATATATACATTAAAAAGTAATTAAATTTAGATAATCAATATAGAGAAGAGATAATATTTTTATTAAAATATCTCATCCTTATAAAATATCAGCATGTGCTTTGTACTACGAAACTTTTTTTATGATTAATATAACACCATATATATAATAGTTATTTCAGTTACACTAAAATATACTCCGTATATGAATATCAAATGTTAATTTTATTTAAGTCATGATCAAAGTTGATCAACTCGATGTAATAAAAGATCAAAACTTTAGAGACTTAAATTACAATTAGCAATAAAAATGTATTTTAAAAGTAGAATTAGATTGATATTGTCAATGTATTTTAAAAATGATTTTTCCGACATCTAACAATTAAAGATTACTTTCTCAGTTTTCTATTTCACTTGTTTCTAAAGTTTATTCTTTTTAACTTTTAAGAAGAAGAAGAAGAATAATAATAATAATAATAATAATAATAATAATAATAATAATAATAATAATAATAATAATAATAATAATAATTCTTGATTGGATCTGATCTGATCTGATTCGATCTGGTCTAATTTGATCCAATTTTAATAAGAATAAGAAAAAAGTAGAAAAAAATAAATTGAATGGAACGGGGCCTTAAACGTTGAAGATATGGGTTATATTGACGCTTGACTTGGAGTGCGAAAATCGGAGTTGGTTTTGAATCACTAGAATAGATTTGGATTAAATTTTACTATTTTAGAATAATGTTTGTGTTTTAGTTTTCTAGCTTTTGGAGTTTGGTAAGTGACGTTTTATATGGTTGGTTTTTAAGCTTTGAACTTGAGGTTGTCATTGTTATTGTTTTGGAGTTTACTATAATTGCTAGAACTAGTTAGTACATTAGGTGTCGTGAATTTTAAATACACGGACTTAGGGAATATAGACTGTGAGAGTCTGAGGTTCTAGTGACACCGGAGTACGGTGTCACTCCGGTGCCACTGGCATTTTGGGGCATTTTCGGTGCTCCGTTCGCAAAATTAACGGTTCCTACCCCCCTAACCCACCCCCTAAACCCCTCACCCTACCCCCACCCCTGCACCCCCACCCTCACTCCGCCGTAAGCCCCCCACAAAATGTGTGGTTATTACCGAAGTAGTCTTCAAGATAAACTAATTACCGAAGTAGTATTTGTTAATTGAGAATAATGCTCAATTTAATTCTCCGCCCAATTAACGGTCGTTAAAACGACATTAAAACTTGTACTAAGTTCCCATAAAGGTCATCTCTATTTGGATATGCTTTTTTCAAATTAGTCTAGATTTGAAATAAAAACTCTCAAAAATGCTCTTCTGACTGTGCTCAAACATCGTAAATCAATTAAAAGGAAAGACTTATGTTTTGGGTTTTTCAAATTTAATGAATTTTTACTTAAAAAATACGGAGTAGATCAATTTGAGAAAATATCCAATAAGAAAGGATAATTTTGAAAAAATAGTATAAAGTTTAACGTTGTTCTTACACCGTTTTGATGACCGTTAGTTATGGAGACTAAATTGAACATTATTTTCAATCACTACAAGAAAACGCCAAAACAACGACGGATTGCAGCGACGGAATTTAGTTCGACGCTAACAGCGACAGATTTAGCGACGGAAGGGCACTCCAACCAAAACTAACGACGGAAAAAAAGGTCCGTCGCTCAGTATTGGCGGGAGGTTGTGCGCGGCATTTTTGACGACGGAATTACCGACGGAATTTTCCGTCGTTAATGTTAGCGATGGAAAATTTCCGTCGCTGACCGAATTTTATTGAAATGCTGCGTTTTGGCTTGGCGACGGAATATATCCGTCGCTACTTTCCGTCGCTTCAAAAACAGATCTATACCCTCTTCCTTAGTCAGTTTCACCGATTTGCAGACAGAAATCGTCGTCTCCGCGTGGAGTCTGAGGTCTGCTGTCCAAATCGTCGTTGAACCTCCGCTGTCGCGCCGTCCGCTCGTCGTCTCCGCCCGCCACCATCAATCGCCGGTCCTCCTTGCTGTCCAGTCATCGTCAAGTCTTCATTCCAGGTTTTTTTTTCAATTTTTCATCTCTTATTCAAATTCTATTTGTGAATTAATTTTTTTATTATAATTGTATTGTTTACATTAGGGTTTTTAAAATATCATATTTTGTTTATAATTACAAATTTAGTTTTAATTTTATAATTATTTTAGGTTAGGGTTTGTTATTCAAAATTTAGTCATTTGTTTTAACAAATTTAATTATATTCCTTAAACTTTTAGTGAATCAATATTGTGCTTATTAATTGTTTAATATGTTATTTTATATATTGTAAGTTTTATAGGAGGAATGAATTTATGCTTATTAATTGTTATATTTTACATATTGTTAATGTTACATGAGGATTGATGTATTGTGTATTGTGTATTGTGTATGTTACGTTGTTGAATATTGTAGTTGTTCCGATCCATTTATATTATATTTTTTATATTATATTTTTAATTTTGTTTGTA